GATTATTTTAACCTGACATTTTCAAAATAGGAACTGGCGAACTCAACAGATTTTGATGACAAAGGAACAATTACCTGGGCCCATAACCTGTTAAAATATGAATATACTTTTGAATTCCTTTATTGGGGATACAAAATATACAACATAAAATAATATAAACGTTGAGTATATTAATCTGACATCAAAACATAAAATCAATAGTAACGCCTACACCATAAACTAAAGTATATCTACGTGAACAATAAAAAATTTAAAAATTTGGGAATTTGATAGATGTCTCAGGGCCTATTCAGCTAAAATATTTTCATTTTTTGGGCACTTCCATTTATACCGAATATAGACCTAAAGTTGCTTATTTTATTTATTAATTTTTGGATTCTACTCAAAATTCTAGGCAGATATTATGTTGCATGTACTATACTTAAGTCCAAGCATTTGTGACATAATAAAGTTTTTATATTAAAAATTACATTTGCAAATCCTTTAATTATCAGTTATTCCTATAGGAAATCTCTTATTACTTACTTTACGTTCGATTCCCCGTTAAAATGGACCTACTTTAACAAATGTTTTATAATATTTGAATAACTAATCATACAGGGTGTTCAAAAATAAGGTTTAAAATGACATTGAAAAAACTGTCAAAAATCAATTTTTTCAAATAGAAACCCCTATATTTCTTAATTCGTAGTATTTGGCATCAAAAATTAAGGCAACTTTGTACAAGGTTGTCCACGGGGTGGTTCTTTAAATGGTACACAAAGAAACTATGAATTTCTTGTATAAAAGCATTGCGACGAGTCCAAAATATGATCCAAGTTCAACAGTATGATCTAAATACTCAGTTTTTGATAGTCCTGTAATTAATCCAGGAACATGACATCTAAAACGACCCAAGCTGACGTTCGAATATATTTTTATCCAATTTTGTTTTTCCTGTGGGTGTCACCATACCCCATAGTTTCAGTCTGGTGGAAACTATATTTCACTGGGCAACAATATATTTATTTGTAATTAAGAGAGTTTTAGTGGGACCTCAATTTATCTTTCGTGTGGTTAAATGTTTATTCTCATGGATTTCAGTATTCTGAGTTATTATAATACTCATATATAGTATTTTTAGTTCATAATTTGATTAATTTATAATATATGTATATTTTGATTCAAAACTTGGTTTTACAGTTAACTGACTTGACGTTTGGAAAAGGCAAGTGTCGACGCTGTCATAGTTGAAGCGCTTTCGGTTGTGATTCTGCCGGTCGAAGGTAGTATAGATGGTTTAATTTAGCTACTTTTTCTTCTTTTTAAGGCCTTGATGATTTTGGGTAACGGCCTTCACCGTTCCTGTCAGAAGTGACGTTTATAGTCGAGCTTGCTTAGTGAACATTGTTCATTGTAGAAGTTTCAAATATGACGCTCTTCCAATTGAAGACGTGGCACATACTTTTCAAAATATGTGAGGCGTGGTTTTGGATCACTTGTGGTTAATTACTATACAGGGCTGGTCACAAGTTGGGATTCCACTGTAGTGGATCGCAGTGGATCGAGATTAAAAAATGAGTTGTTTTTGTTTTTAAAGATTATTGATTTGGAATTCAACGTGACGTTACGTATCTTCAACTTGTCAAGTTGTAATTTTTATAATAAAACCTTTCATCGAAAGATTTCTCAATCACTATTACCACACCACATTACAAAAGAAGTGTGATATGGTTTTAGGAAAACCCAGAATTTTGTTTTATTCCAACCTACGAGTGTAGGGATATTTTCTTAAACCTTATATGCATGGACGACGCATTTGTGAATGTTGGTGGTGTACAAAAACTACCTTTGGATTGTGTTGAAGTAGTTTATTTCGTCATTCGCCATTTATTGGGCCGAGGGAAAACAATCTGTTTCTTCAGGAAAACCCTTTTGATTAGAAGGAAAGCTTTGTTTTCTCTAACTTTTTGGCAATAAACCTATAGTTTTTTATATCAGTGACATCGAGGAAAAAAGGAAGTAAGTTCGGCCATGTGCTGCTCGTTTTTTTGTAAAGAAAAATCAGTTAGTTAAGAGCCGATTTTGATTTAAATAATAAATCTTTTGGGTAAATTATTTGATATTTAGTTAATATTTTTTTTTATATATAAATTTGGAAAGGGTATTACATCTTGAGTCCGCTCGATTATTTGCATTTATCGTATTTTTAGGGTTTCGGTGTATAGACTGGCAATATCAAGTGACTTGGACGAGTTGATTTTGGTATTCCACCTGCAAGAGATCTACTTATACTACCCCCACAGATACCTAGAACGTAACCTGAGGTTTCTTATATTCGCCTCTGGTTAAAGTATTGTTCATCTTTATTGAAGGGAGCTGCAGAGATATAGCTGTTACGTTCACCGAAGTTCAACGGCGAACACCGGCTCGAAAAAGGAGGTTATATTTATTTTAATTAATTTCATCCATACCCTTTTATGCTCTAAGATTATGATAAATATTTAAGTTTTCTTTATAGTAATATGTAGTAATGTAATTTTATTGTTATTATCTGATGAGTTAGGATAATTATACGACTGAAATCAAGTGACTTTTTTAACGGGTTTTTTATAAAAAAAATCCCTTTACTTTACACTATGCAGATAGCACATAAAGTCTAAGTCCTGGTACCAGCGCCATGACCCTGGTATATTAAGTTTAACTTATTCTTGCGGCAGGGAATTATTTGCCCCAACAAAGGTTTTGATTTCAGTACTAGGGACATTGTTTTTAGTTATATACATTTTTAATTTTATGCCTTAACCACCCAATTATATACCTATATATTTATTTTTCTTACTTTTTGTTCAAGGGACATTCTTACAGTTTATATAATCCATTGATTATTAAATACGTTTTTAGATAATTATTGACTAAATGGGCATTATGTGGAGGTGTCCCATCATGTTGTTAGTTGAGGTTTAGTTGAGATATCGGTCACCTATAAGCTAAAATACATATTTTATATTAGAGTTATTCAATAAGACCTAATATACCATTCAAATTTTTTTTATAGAATTGTAGGCACACAATGCCGTCACCCCTTACGGTACAATAACCGTTAAATTGCCAGGATTATTGAAAATTCCTAAATGGGTGTACATTTATGTTGCTTCAATAATGGCAATTACGTCGACTAAAATCACCATTTTTTTGTAAATTTGAATTTGTTAGTCCAAATAATATTCCCTAAAAAAGAAAGATTTTCTTATGACCGAATTAAAATGAATTCACAAAATTCCATTTTTTTCTGAAAATCAATTTGGTTTAAATGCTGCACTACTGAAAATGCATAGGGACGATATTTCTTTTATAGAACTGATATGCCTGATTCTAATACTGCTTGCTTTGATAATAGGAGAGCCCACTACAAATTTCAACTGTCATCTGATAACGAAATGAAATATGCTCATAAGGCCTACAACAAAATTGTACTTTACCAAAGAACGCCTGTGCCAATCACTATCCTAAGTGTTTAAAATACATTTAAACATAAAAATAAATCTTAAAATAATTTAAAATTAAATGCCGCACCTGTGCTAACCCACTCGTGTGCATTGGTGACGTGAGTAATCAAACGTAACTGCATTATGCATTGTTAATTTTAACTCGACGCCTGAAGACAATAAATTTCAAGGCAAAGCACTTATTCGCTTGTTGAAGTCAATAAACAAGATATATTTACGAAATAAACTTGCCCGTGAAGGGAGGTCTCGGCAATCGACTCTATGCATCTCTCTTCCTCGATACAAAAGATTTAGATCATTCTGAGCTTTGGTAGAAGTCGAAAGGTCTCAAGAACAAAACGATGGCAGTTTTTACTATTTTTTGTAATTAGTTATTCTCTGAGCAAAGATACTAAAGTATCTCAATATTAGCAGTGTTACACCCTTAGGCAAATATTAAGCCTCTAGGTATATTTTTTAAATATTATAAATAAGTTAGAGTGTAAAAAGTTATCGTTGTAATAATCAGCACCGATTAAATTAGTCCACTAGGTAAGCGAGCCCTCAGCTCCGTACTCACAATTTGTGTTGGTTTAAGTTTTTGTAACTACAAACCCGCACACTGAGCAATAAATAGGTTCATTACATCTTTCATCCTTTTTGATCTGATGATGACCTTTAAGCTGAAACTAGTTGCCACCAGTCACCAGTTAATTTAAAAAATTAAAATTATATGGGGAATTAATTTTCTGTTTTTAATTTCATTAATTCCGCATTATTGATAGAGTTTCAGTTGTTTTTGGTTTATCTTATATCTAATACCAAATAAGAAACATTGTTCGTAATTTTGCACCAGAATTTGTAAACCCCTTATTACGGCCCTGTTCAAAGTTCTTCTACCCGACCGTTCCAAAAAGGAATTAAGGTAAAGGAGTAGGTATTAACGTCGAGGAATATTTAGCCTTGGGCTGTGAATCGACGATGCCAAAAATGAGAAAAGCGTTTTAGAGCCAGGAGTATCGCGATAAAGGTATTTTCCTGATATTGAGCAAGAAATTCCGTTACAAAATTCATATCTACTAATACTTTCAGCAATATGCTAGAGATAGTGACTGTTAAAAAACAAACTAAAAGATGGCTTCAAAGTGGAATGATTCATAACGTTCTTTTTGATCGAAAATATCGCGATAGTTTGCTGTTTTTGAAATACAGTGTGAACCAAAAACTGTACTCTTATCTTGACTATTTCTAAAAGACCAATATAACTAAATTACAGCACTACAATAGAAAAATTATGGCACCACCACCTCTCATAGTAGATAACGTCCAAAACAGTTTGGTCTATACCGCCTAAACTCAATAAATATACAAGTATGTTGTCCTAATATTTGTAAATTTCAATTTGTTCAAAAAAATTACATTTCCGTTTACTTTTGTAATTTAAAACTCTAAAATTCAAAAATACACTTTTGAAGGTTTATAATTTTTTTATTGTTTTTGATAATAACGTAATTGAAAGATTTTTTGACTTACCACTGGTAACCTGAAGACAAATAGCTTGTAGACATAGGATCGACAGTACAAGTCTTCTCCCTGAGGTGTACCGGTTATCTGGGGCCATACTGTGTCCTGAAAATTAAAAATTAAACTTTAATATGAAATTAGAATTAAATTATTTTAATTTTAACCGAAAAGGGTAAATTTAGTTGCAGGATTTAGATAATTTAATAACCTATTTGATACCAGTGGCGGCTAGTTCAAAAGGGGAGGAGAGCTGCAGATATGCCTAAAGAATGCAAGTATCTTGTCTAAATTCCACAAAAATTATTTAAGAGATTCTAAAATATACATAAAATAGATTTTATGGATAATTTTATAATTTTAATTTAATTTTAATACAATACAATTTTTTTAATTGTCAAAAACGCTGAAAATCTACCAAAAAAGCCGAGACTAATCATTGGACCAAGTGAAGTTACATCGTGACGTTATCTAAGTGCGATGCACAAAATGATGCTTAAAATAGCGTGATTTTAAGCAGGCAAACTGTTTGTTTCACGGATCTATTGATCTCTCTTTTTAACTACAGACATTCTCGGAAACCTCTCGCGTTTAATCAGCATATTGAACCAACAGACGCGGTCAGCTTAAGCGCAGTGTGGTACCAAAAAAGTACAGATTAAAACGTATGAAAATATATTAAATTTAATTTATATTTTTAAATTATTTATGTGATTTTAAAATATTGTCTTTTTATGAAATTTAACTGGGTATTTACTGCTCTAATGAACCAATGAAGAAACCGCGCCTGTAATTTACCATAGTTTAATTCTTGATATTAAAAAATATACTACTAAAAACTCATTGAGTTCAGTTCATAACCGTAAATATAGAGTTTTATTCGTCTAATAACGAAAGACAAACTCATCTAGTAAATCGAATTATCAAATTAGCGTGTATGGTACTTGGAGATCCATTACGATTATTCGACAGAAGTTCGCACGCTCCGTATCTCTATTCTATTCCCCCATAGTTGATCGAATTATCCGTGTTGCTAAAACAAAACAAACAAAACACAAAGTTTTACCGTTTTACCATCCCCGTTAATACTGTTAAAGCAATAGCTTAAAATAGTTAAAAAGTTTTCGATACTGGGCTTAATGCGAATGGTTAAATGGGAGTTTGGGCGCCTTTTTACCCGATTCCCATTTAACATTGTTAACGAACTGGGTTACTTAACGTAAGAGTAATTCGTTTCGCTTTGGGTTTTATCAAGAGAATGTACAGTACACTGATAAAAACATCGATTTTAATATATGAACTTCTTTTCAAAACTAACGCGAAATTCATATTATACAGGGTGATTCATTAGTGTGAAAACGTCATTATTAGAGATAATTTTTGAGTATACAGGGTGTTTAATAACTTCCCTCTGGAACCAACTTATGTTCTTTTTAAAGGATCACCCTGTATTTTATTTTATATTTAAATTGCCCTCGCTTTTCCCATTCTAAAAATATAAATTATTATTGGTTCATACATGGTATTTTGCAGGATATAATCAGTTTTGTATGAAAATCGTATTGAATTCAATGACCTATATCATGCAAAAGAAACCATTGTTAACCAATTTTTTTTCTACCACAATTTTTCAATCATGGTCAAATTTTATCCGGAGACACTACTTTTTTAATTCGCATCAAATCTGTACAGGGTGAGTCAAAACACAAATACATAATTTTCTCAATATTTTTAAATGGTTCACACTGTATTTTATATCATCGTTTAAAATTATCCTAATTAAATTATACTTTAATTTAACTTAAGAGGAGTATTTACTTGGCTGTAAAGCGGAGCATGCAAGGGTTTCGTAGTACCCCCACTTTTAAAGTTTATTTTTGACTTATTCTGAAAGAAAAAAATATGTGCGTGTAGGTAAAGGATAAATCAATGCTCCTCTGGAAACACTTTTTTAAAATTTGAAACTGTTTTTTCTAAAAAAAAATACAAAGCTCGACTATTTTTACCCATTTTCTCAATTTTTTTTAGAAAAAACTAAATTGAATTTTGAAAAAGTGGTTCCAGAGGAGCATAGATGTAACCTTTACCTACGCGTACATATTTTTTTCTTTTAAAAATATTTAAAAATAAACTTTAAAAGTGGGGGTACTACGAAACCCTTACATTGCAAGATTTTTCGTCTGGAAAGTGGCGCCTCTGTTAGATTTTCAAGAAATTAATATTTGTGAATGAAAACAATTTATAATATATTTTACTGATATTTTACGAGGGATGAATAAATTTTACATATTTTACACCTTATTTTTTACGTAATTTATTTCTGTAATACTAAGATTGGTATATATATTATATGCAAGGGTTTCATAGTAGACCAATTTTAAGGATTATTTTTTAATTTTACTAAAAGAAATTTTATGTAAGTACAGGTAAAGGCTTAACCCATACCTCTCTGGAGTCACTTTAAAAATATGAATCAGTCTCTTTTGAAAAAAATCTAAGAAAAGAAACGAAAAGAAATAGAATTGTTAAAAAATGCTAAAAGAGAACCATATATTTAATTTTTGCCTACAGGAGCATTTATTTTTATAACAATAAAAATAGAAATATGTTAAAAGCTTTTTCGTCTAGAGGGTGACACCAACAAAATATATATCTTTTTTTCTACTATTTAGTGATAAACAGTATATAAGTGATTTGAATTCATGTTATTTTTTACATACAGTAACTTCGCTCAATTACATTAAATTAATTTTATCATTTATTTATTAAAAAATATATATCTGAAATTGGAAGATATACACTGAGATATGAATTATAAATATGTTTTTGTTTAATGAATACCTCAAGTCAACAATAATTATTAATTCCAGCATGTTAATATCTCTTCAATCCGTTAAAGTAATGTAAATATTTTTTCTTGCTTTCGCGCATGGCTTTGATCTGACGCACCCTTTGAGGCGTGCTGCAAGAGAAAATTTTCTAAAGAGTTAGCCAATGTCTATAAATGAGAAAAAAACGATTGTGACAAGCTGATTGTACATTGTGGCACAATAAAAGACGGAAACGAGTCCCTGCTTTAAAATTTAGAGAAATTTGTAAAAAATCTCCTAAAATCTTTTATTTATTTCTAAAGCCACCCGATATGACATGGACCATAAATTCAGAGCAAAATAAGATTTGGAAATTTATTTGCAAGTAAAAGTTTTTAAATGTGGACATTTTATTGAATTCGAATTTGATTATGTTGCTGCCAGTCTAGATGGAATTAAAAAAAAAACAAAACACTATGATAGAGTTCAAATGTCCATATGAAGCTGAAGTGCTAACTGTAGAAGAAGAAATACGCAGTAGAGAAATAACTTTTTGGAAAAAGGACAATACCATTAAGGAGAACCACTATTGGTATTTTCAAATTTTGGGCTAGCTGCACATAATGGATTTTGTTTGAAATGGATTTTTCCATTTTGTGCTTTTGTGCTTTTGGACTTCTGTAGGAATAAAAGTGGAGAAAATATCTCATAATGACAGCTTCTGGGAAGAAAAGATACAAAATAAAATTAAATTTTTTTATATGCAATATGCCCTGTCAGAACTTGTTGACAGCGAAGCTAATAGAGACATGGAAGTACAGGACAGAATACTAAATAATTCGTGAGAAATTTTGTTTAATGTTTATTGACATAACGCAAGGAATCTTAAATTATTTTGAATATTTTTATTGCTTTAAGAATTACTTTTTATTTATTTCTAAAACATGGTAGTAGGCGATCTATTTAAGATATGATTAATGTCTTATTATTATAATACACTATTTTAAATTTAGGATTTTACCAGTGGAAGTGGTTATTGATGATACATAATTATTACTATACCAAATGTTTTAAAAGGCTACACCAACTAGTGGACCACTCTTTTAAGTCCCCAAATAATAGTTTCAAGATTTTGATTCGGATATTTTTATTTCACAAAAATAATAAGTCAGTTTTTGTTATTTAAGTAAATCATATCATTTTCAAGGCAATAAAACAGAAGAAAAGTCACCGAATACCGATTTCAAAAAGGTCTATTAGTTTTTATAGGAAATGGAAAGAGAAAGAACGCTTTTTAATCAAGTTAAAATTCTTTACTAATTTCGCTCTTTCTCTTCGACGATGTCCGGTCTCTTTCTCTTCGACGATGTCCGGTCTCCTTCTTGTTTAAAATCGATAACTATAAACGGATTAAGGTATTTTGTACCGTTTTAAAAAATGTAAGAAAAATTTTGAAGAATATTTGTTTTTATTTAAAAATTAGTAAACTTTGACAAACATGTACAATATGCTAAAAGATAAATCACATTACGTGTAGGTAAAGGTTAAATCTATGCTTCTCTGGAACCACTTTTTCAAAATTCAATTTAGTTTTTTCTAACAAAAATTGAGAAAATGGGTAAAAATAGTCGAGCTTTGTATTTTTTTTTTTTTTTTTTTTTTTTTAGAAAAAACAGTTTCCAAATTTTAAAAATTGTCTCCAGAGGAGCATAGATTTATCCTTTACCCACACGCACATATTTTTTTTCTTTCAGAAAGGGTCAAAAATAAACTTTAAAAGTGGGGTACTACGAAACCCTTGCATGCTCCGCTTTACAGCCAAGTATATACTCCTCTTAAGAAACGAAAATTTTATTTATTTTTCTAAAATAATATGGATTTTCCTCTAAAATATATATAGTGGCTCACAAAAAGTCTGCTTTTTATATGTTACTTTTTTCAGAAAATATTATTCCTGATAAAACTTGGGGTTTAATTAAACCTTAAACTTTATTTATTCAAAAAATTCTGTATCATAAATAAAAATTTGGCTGCACAGTGAACTAGGTAGGTACTTTTCTAGGAACCGAACCCACATTTTTACATATAAGATTAATTTAACAAGATATATTTAACTACATATAGTAGTTTTTTAGTTAGTACAATTAATATAGATTATTATATCCTTTTTAACATATTTCAAAAAAGAGGAGGTTCTCCATTCGTCTGTATATATTTTTTTTATGTATGTTCAGCGATAATTCTTTAACACAATGTCCGATTTAAATAATTCTTTTTTGCTGGAAAGGGGGTACTTCCGGGATGGTCCCATATAAATTTGGTCAAAATCTAATAATTGGATCCATGAGAAAATCCTCAAACTTTTCATTTTTTATGTATGTTTAGCGATAATTCTTTACCACCTTGTCCGATTTCTATAATTCTT